CTAAGATGGAGCAAATAGTTAAGTACTCAGCGACTAATCAAAAGGTTGGCAGTTCAACTCCACCAGAGGTACCTCAGAAGAAAGGCCTGGCTTTCAGATCTGCTTCTGAAAGATCACAGTTTTTGAAAACCTATGGAGGACAGTGCTATTCTGACACACTCAGGGTCACTATGAATCAGAATCAACTCCACAGCAATTGGTTCACATATAAGAGTGCTATGGCAGGGTAGAGAGCAGAGCTTCTAGTGGGAGGAATAGAAACAGGCCTAGATCTGCCCTATTTTCCTTTGTTTTCTTTTCTTTTTTTTTTTTTTTTTCATTATCATTGTCAAAATGGATGAGAGTGGAGCCCTTAAGGAAAGGGGACTATATCACTTACCTGCATTCTTGTACACTAGATTTTAAGTTGGGCAATTGTGACTATGCATGCACATGTGAATACACCCACACACATACACAAATAGGGGTGCAGATGATTTTTTGCTACCACTAGTCTCTGAGTACCTCAATATCCCTAGTTCCTTAACCCTGTCCTTATATCTATAAATAGTTCTGCCTTATACTCTCTTAAGGTATAGCACTGGAAAGAATTTTGAGTCTTATAAGGAACAAGACTGCTACATACACAAAACAGAAATTAAATAGAGACTGTTCAGAAAATGAATCTGAAAAATTAATAAAACCGCCAAAGACTTCCCCCAACTATCTGCTGAAACTGGTGAATAGTACATTATGTCTCCCCAACACTACATTGAATTCCTAGACTGACAGCAATCTGATATACAAAGGAGCTAGATGTCTAAACAACTATAATCTATTAGTCATTCAGCAATAATCTCTTCCAGAAAAATGATTTTTTTCAAAAGCTTTGCTCAAATAAACAGGTTCTTTGTTTTATACTTCTGATCTACCATAAAGACAATCATAGTTTTCCATCATTCTCATAAAACATGCTACCTTCTATTGATCATCTCTTTTTTCCAAGTGTTTATAAACAAAATACTAAATAATTCACTATATGATTTTGCTACAGATTGAAATTAAGGCTATTGATCAGGAACTTCTATGACTTCCTTTTTGCCCATTAATTGAAAAAAGAAAAAAAAAAAGACCCTATCTACTTCTACTTTGGGACTGTACTTAGGTGGTACAAAACAGTTGACATGTTCAGCTAACTGAAAATTTGGGGATTCAAATTTACCCACAGGAGCCTTGGAAGAATGATCTGGAAACCAACTTCTAAAAACTCAGCCACTGAAAACTACAGAGCACAGTTCTTCTCCGACAAGCATGGGGTCACCATGTGTCAGAAATGTCTCAACACCAAGTTAAGAGGTTTTTTTTGTTCATTTTTGGGCACCACTACTGCATTTCATGATTTCTCAAAGATTACTAGTAGTGACAAGGATGATTATATCTGCAACTTGCTTGATTATCTTACATGATAGATGGTCTCATTTTATAGTCCTAATACCATGAAAGAGGCTATTGGTGAGAGATATTCTTTACTGAGTGCCCAAAAGCGTCTCAGTGCTTTATTGTGTCACACATGCTATGTTGTAATGACTATGTTTCATCTACACATGTTAGTATATAATAAAAAGGAAGGCATCTTATTTTATTTTAAATGTATTATTCTCCCCTCAAAAAGAGACTTTTTTTCCCTTTAGATATAAAGAAACTGGCCCTTTTTACCCTTTAAATTACCAAGCCTATCTCATTTTGGCCTACTTATCCTAGCATTGTTCCTAGAATTTGTATCTTTTCCTTTCAAATCACTGGTTTTGCCCTTTTACCTTCCAACATCTATATCTGTTTTTGTAAATCATCTCAAGAGAAGACCTTTCGCATAGGATTTGGCATCATTTTCTCCTCAGTGAGTTGTCTGCAAACTCAGAATACTTTGTTTGTGTTGCCTGCCATCCCTATTGTTTATATTACCATTTAGAGGTTCTGTACCATCTTCTCGTCTAGACTCCAGCATTGTGATAGCAAGAACCGAATCTCCTGTTTCTTTGCAGAGAACGTTCAGCACAGTGCCTTACACAAAAGCACTGAATATGTACTTGTATTGTAGGAAGAGGAAAAAATACGTCAGAATTCCTACTCTAAAATGTTTATCATCAGAAGGGACAAATAATATTAAGAGAATAAGGGGACTACAAATGTACACTGAGTATGAAAGTATTGAATCTCAAAGTACTAAAGAGTGGCAAATGTATAATTCATAACTGTTATACACCATCCTAGGTAGGCTGGACAATGGTAATGTTCTACAGAAGAGCAAGCAAGAAAAGGAGTAATAGAAAGAGTAGGGCAAATGAGAGGACTTTCTCAAATTTGGTTGTTGAACTATGGTAAACGGTAGAAAACCCCAACTTACTGAGATGTAAGCAGGCAACTAATAAAAACTTTTACCAGTGCTCTTTTCAAATTTCAACCATAATTGTATCATTATGTTAATCTATGTGGTCAGTTTCTGCAGAAATGGTTCCTAACAATTTTTTAAGTATGTAACACATCTAGGAGGAGCTCTGGTAGCATAGTGGCTAAGGCACTTGACTGCTCACCAGAAGGCTGGCAGTTCAAACCCACCAGCCACTCCTCGGAAGGAAGGTTGGGCAATACTACTTCCGTAGAGATACTGCCTCGGAAACCCAAGGAGGGGTCGCTATGAGTCGGGGCCGACTCGACGGCAAACAACAACAACAACAACAACACATCTAGGGAGCTCTGGGAGCCTAGTGCCTAAAGCACGTGACTGCTAACCGGAAGGATGGTGGTTCAAACCCACCAGCCACTCCTCGGAAGGAAGATGGGGCAATGTACTCCGCAGTGATATTGCGTTGGAAACCCAAGGAGGGGTCACTATGAGTAGGGCCGACTCGACGGCACATAACAACAACACATCTAGATATGCAACACTAATAAACTAGGTGGATCCTATTTGTACAAGCCTAAAACAGAACAACAACAAAAAAAAAAACAGAACTCAATGCCATCGAGTCGATTCCGACTCATAGCGACCCCCTTTGGGTTTCCAAGGTAGTAAATCTTGACAGAAATAGATTGCCCAGTCAAGGAGTGGCTAGTGGGTTTCAACTGCCAACCTTCTGGTTAGCAGTCAAATGCCTCAGGCACTATGCCACCAGAGCTCCTTGTACAAGCCTAAAGTTTACATAATTTTAAAAGCCCCTACGTTTTAAAAAGATACAAAATTACAAATAAAAATTAGGTGGAAAAGCAAATATTTACTTAGAATGAAAAAAAATTCAACAAATGACTGAAGCCATGGAGAGCTAGATTCCTTTCTTCTGAGACAGCTTTAGGCAACTGACAAAAAAGGCTTACTTAGAACTTGTTTTACTGCAATGTCTTATTCCCTTCCCACCTAGACTATCTACAACTCCCAGGAAAGTCCAATATTCCCAATAACCTAAGCAAATTAACAGCTCTAAAGCTTAAATTTCATTGGCTTTCAGGCTGCTCCGCCTCTGAAAACAGGGGCTCACTAAAGATAACTTATGAGGGGGCTGGGACTTAAGGAAAGAGAAAACATATGACAACTTTAAAACAGTCCCAGATGATTCTGATACACCGTTTTCGCCTCAGACTGCCTCTCCATATTGGATAGACTATTATTGATAGCTTAATAATACACTAAGGTGGTGTAGTGGTTAAAGAATTTGGCTGCTAACCAAAAGGTCAGTAGTTCGAACCCACCAGCAGCTCCATGGAAGAATGATGAGGTAGTCTGCTACTGTAAAGATTTGTTGTTGTTGTTATTTGCCGTCGAGTCGGACCCGACTCATGGCGACCCCTCCTTGGGTTTCCGAGGCAGTATCACTATGGAAGGAGATTACCCAACCTTCCTTCCGAGGAGTGGCTGGTGGGTTTGAACCGCCAGCCTTCTGGTTAGCAGTCAAGTACAGCCTAGGAAATCCAGTGTGGGCTGCTATAAGTCAGAACCAACTCGATGGCAGTTTGGTTTGGTTTAACATGATCTTTGAAGGAGATGTAAAGAAGACGAGTACAGTAAATAATGTGCCACTCCTGCGAAGGTCGACTGAGAGTCGGATTCGACTGTATGGCAGTGACAGTTTTTTTTTTTTTTTTAATCTCAAGTGTACTACTAGCAAAAACTTGAGAAACTTGATGACATACAACCGCTCAGTAAGAAAGGATCTTTTCTTTTCCAAACCCTTTAGGAAATAACAATCAGTAGTCTACATACACCAAACATCTAAAACACACCCGCATGAGTCAATCTCCCCCCAACTTTCTAATGCAAACTAACAGGAAACCTCGAGCCAACATTTCTCGATGGAAAGGAAAAACAAGAAAGCGGATGGCTATAGACTGGGTGACCATCTGAAAAAATCCTTAGCTCCCGCTAGGAAGAAGCTAGCTTCCTTTTGGACACACACAACCGTTTTCTAACGTTCAGAGGGTTCCCCAACTTATTCCTACCGGACTTGGAGACTCACATCAGAATTTACTCAAATCTCAAATCCACAACCACTCTAAATCGAGAACAATTTCCCGAAACTCGGGTTCCCTCTCCCAAAATTAAGGACAGGCTGACTGAGCCTCCAGGAAGGGAAAAAAAAAAAAAAAACCTAGTAGGGGTGGAGGCCGCTTTGGGCCACCCACTCCAGAGCTCAGGCACTAACCTGAGGACGTGTCCCCGCCAGGGAATAAAAAGAAGGGAGGGCAGGGGAATACAACTTTGCAGATGGCACTAAGCCACGACGAGCAGCGCGGGAGGTCAAAGTGCGGAGAGGGGAGCTGCTGCGATTCAGAACCCAGCCAGGACGAGCTGCGGGGGCGGTGAGAGCTCCAGTCAAGGTCCCAGCAGCCAGAGGAGACCCCACCCACCTCCAGCTCCGAGCCACCGCCAGGGAAAAGGCGAGCAAGAGGAAAGCACCCGCCGTCACAGTGGAGGCAACTCCCAGAGTTGATTTGGGAACTTTCCCGGGACGCGCCGCCGCCGCCCTCACCTTACTGAACACCTCTAGGTCGTCCTCGTCCTCGTCCAGATCGAGCACCTCGGCCTGCAGTAGAGCGGAGGAACCGCTGCTGCCGGAGAGGGGGGCACCGCCTCCGGGGCTCTCCCCATCGGCGCCCCCAGCCGGGAGGCCCGAGGAGCGCGGCTGAGATGCCCGGCGCTCGCCCTCCATCCCGAGAGTGCGCGCCCAGCTGGCCGCCGCCGCCAGCCCGGCTCCCCCGAGCGTGCCCATTGGCTCCCGCGCATCCTGCGCCTCCTCGGCCAGCCCCGCTCCAGCCCCTCGCCCGCTGCGCAGACGCGGAACTGCAGGGACCAGCACCCGGCCTCGGAAGGGCAGTTGTGCGGCCCAGGGGCATCCCCACCTGGCCTGAGGCCTAGCTGAAACCAGGGAGTGGTCGGACTAGGGCGAGGGTGGGGAAAGAGACGGTATCTTATGGAGAAAAGGGGGCAGAGAGGGCTTGAAAGTTGGAGGCTGGGGTTCTCCTGTTGCCCTGGCGCAAGGACCACCAAGAGAAGGTTCTGCAAGAGGCGAGGTCTAGAATAACCTACAGGGCGAACCCACAACTTTGGGGGCTCCTCACCTGTGCTGAAGGCAGGCGACTCATCCCGCCAAGAGAACAGATCAATAGTATATTTTCTGTATTTTAATGGTTGTTTTTCCTTTTTGTTGTGATTTTTGAGTACCTCTTTACTTACTAAATGCAAAAATTTGAAAATAGGACATATAAAAACCTGTTTTGTTTTGTTTTGTTTTTTTAATGGATTTTTGACCCAATGACTGGACTGTGTGGTCATTTCACTGTAAATCCAGGGAAGTTGATATTTAAGAGCTATTTTCAGCCACTTTCAAATGTATCTTTACTCCTGGAGTTAATGACCAGAATGTTATGAAGACCCAAGATCAAGACAGGGCTGTACACTGCTCTGTGAAATGATGATCTTCAGTCTTTGCATTGAATGATTATTTAGTTTTTCACTTTTTTTTTTAACTTACATTCCAAAAGTAATGGAAAATTAATTTTATACAATTTAGAATTTTATAAAAGTATCTTAATGTTTTATTATTTACCCTTCTCAAGCCCCACCTCCTTTCTTCCTTTGCCTCTGCCCTGGAATGAATGTCTGAGAAGGCAGAACGTACCCAGGGAGAAAGACTTGATATCTGAATCCTCTTGTGTCAAAATATTTAGCCCAATGTTTAAATGTTAAAATCTCTCTCTCTCTCTCTCTCTCTCTATATATATATATATGAATTACCTATTTAGAGAGATTTGAGAATTTCTCTTTTTCTGATTAACCATAACCTCCCATTCTTTTTGTACATATATACACCTCTCTAGTCCACCTGGTTCTGCTACTCCATGAACATCCATACTCATTTCTATGCTTTATGGTTCTTGTACCCAAAATACCATCTCCTACCCATCCTTCAAGAATTAACTATATTAAAAAAAATAAAACTCACCGCCATTGAGTCCATGCCAACACATAGCGACCCCCTTTGGGTTTCTGAGGAGATAAATCTTTACAGAAGTACATTGCCCAGTCTTCCTTCCCTGGAGGGCTGGCGGGTTTTGAACCACCAACCTTGTGGTTAGCAGTCAAAAGCCTTAGGCACTACACCATTAACATTCAAAATGACACAGTCTGCTCCACCAAATTGAACATTTGATTTTACTCCATCTGTAAATTTTGAAGCCCTGCTTCAAAACCATGTGTAGTTATAGCTGCTTGACCAAGACCCATCTAGATTCCTAAGTAGAATTTTCTAAAGCTAGAAAGGAAGTTATGATTCTAGCCCACCAAACAAAAAGAAAAAAATCACTATTATCATCAGGGCTTCTAACCAGTTCATTCCGGTTTGGAACCTCACTGAGAATTTGCATTTTCATTGGACATATACTGAATCAAAATCTACATCTTAAAAAGATCCCCAGGTGATTCTATGTATATCTGGGTATCTATAGGAGTTTTTCAGGAGCTCTGACAGCATAGTGCCTAAGGCACTTGACAGCTAACCAGAAGGCTGGCGGTTTAAACCCACCAGCCCCTCCTCGGAAGGAAGATGGGGCAATCTACTTCTGTAGAGATACTGCCTCGGCAACCCAAGGAGGGGTCACTATGAGTCGGGGCTGGCCGTCAAGTCGTACCGACTCATAGCAACCCCTCCTTGTATTTCCAAGGCAGTATCACTACGGAAGTAGATTGCCCCATCTTCCTTCCGATCTTCCTTCCGAGGAGGGGCTGGTGGGTTTGAACCGCCAGCCTTCTGGTTAGCAGTCAAGTGCCTAAGGCACTATGCTACCAGAGCTCCTAACGAATGAGTTAGAAGCCTTGATTATGTACACCCTTATGGATGCCTAAAGGAGCTCTGGTGGTATTGTAGTTAAAACACTTGGCTGCTACCCAAAAGGTCAGTGGTTTGAACCTACCAGCTGCTCTATGGAAGAAAAATGAGGAAGTCTGCTTCCCTAAAAGATTTACAGCTTTGGAAAGCCAATGGGGCTCACTATGAGTCAGAATCTACTTGATGGCACAGAGTCTGTTTGTGAATGGCTGCCTAACATCAAGATCTCCCTACTTACATACTTACTCTTTATCCTCACTCCTGCTGAATATATTTCAATTTTGTCTCGAGCACTTAAAAATTAATTCCTAACTCTCTAAAAGAAGAAAACTCCCGAGTCTACTATGTCTACTCCTCTTGTAGTTCTGCTGCAATCTTATCTTGATATTTTGCAATTTATGTACTACAATAAATTACCAACAGCATACCATGCCTGCTTCCTCAGTGACATGAGAAACTCTAAACTGCCAAATAGCAGCCTCATCTTGCCATAAAATGTAAAAATCATTGGGCTCTGTAGTGGAAGAATTCTTCCCTAGTTACTAGAATTTGTGAACCCAACATAGCCTTAACCTGTAGTACAGATATAATATTGAGAGTAGCTCCATCCGATTCTATCATTTGGCTCCTGAATTCTCTTATTTCATTATTGGAGAAATAAGTATCATACCAGTTTTTGGTTCAGAGATATGCAACAACTTGTCACAAGCCCTCCCCCACCCACACTCTCCAATAAAAAAACTTTCCAGGAGGGTCTCCTGAGAACATAATTGAGTCTTTAATGTGCCTTTTTACACCATCTTTAAAGCAAGGCTTCAAACCAGTTCTTCCCAGTCATAGCTGAGATAGCAAAACGGGAACAGACCCCACCTGATTTAAAAAATTTGGGTGAGCCAGAACAATAACCAGAAGGAGAAAAATTACTGGTTGAAGCCCTACTGAAAATTTAATCTTCCTTTTGGAAAACAAGGCAGCATACACATTGAATTAACAACAAACTCTCTTGCCCATCGGATTTTTAAATAGTGTGTCCCCATCGCCCCAGCAAAGACAACACTCTACGTTCCTGCCAGTAATCCAGTGTCACACATCAGGCTCCTGAAAGGGCTCACTACACCTCTTCTGAGTATCTCATTCCAAGGCTTCAGCCTATAATTTTTTCTATTTGGTTTGTCATTCCAGATACCCTAAATTTTAAAAATTCGGGTTGTTCCACTTTTACTTCACTGGTTGTGACTGAGCTAGTTTAAACTGATTCAAAGCTCTGTTTTAAAGTCAGCTGTTTCTAGTAATGGGATTCTTTGTAAGACAAGTCATTCCACGCACATTGGCCAACAATGTTGCTTTTGCTAAAAAAAAAAAAAAACTGATTTCATTGGTAGGAAAATATGTTACATGCAAAATACAGTTGGAATAAAGCAGTAAATCCATGAGTGATGCTGTTGGGAAATATTTGCTGAACAGAAAAATCAAACCCTAAGTATCTTTCCCACTAAGGACAAATCATGGCATCCTTCATATTGTGTGGCCGTCAGAAAAACAAGTAGCTGCTGCTGTGGCAAGTTGAGTACTTAGCAAAGGAAGTAGTCACATCTCCTTTAGTGAGGGAAAGCCATGTTGTTGAGCCTATGCCCAGTGTCCATCCCTGCCCTTCTGATCAGTTAGTCCTTGAGGCCATGGAACAAACACTGGAGTATCTAAGAAAGCAATAGGATTAGCATCCACAGAACATGATTGATTTTCCAATTTGGAGAAGACTGTTAAGTGTCTTCTCCAAAATTAGGAGCTTTTTGGAAGGCATTGCTATAGCTACACGTACACTTTTATTCTGGGACCATTCCAAAAGCTCTATCTACCTACATCTTCCCAAACCTCATTAATGCCTATATCTAACCTTGCTCCTTCTATGTCCCATGCAGTCAAACTTTTATCCCTTGTTTTTGAAATGGCATTGAGTCATTACACAAAACTCTACCTCCTTTGAATCATAGTAGCCATTGTTATGGACCACTGAGAGGATTTCACTTTTTCACTGTCCTTTAAACCTACAGCAAACAATTGTAGATGATTCTAGCATACGATGAAGAACGACCTGTAAACCAGATTTGAATTTTTTACTCCTTAACTGTTCAGAGGAACTCCTAATGAGATCATAGGAGTAGACCTTATAGACCACTTTTATATGCACCATTTCCATCCAAGTGTGGTATGCTGAAAGCTCATCCAGTCTTAGGATTTTGTGGATTCTATTTCACCTCATTCTTAATGTGCCTCTTATGTCACATGGTCATCTGATATCCCATTCTCAGTAATTTAGTCATTGCCAAAACCCAATAACAAGCCAAGGGCTAGTTTCTTAAATGGAGGAGATATGTTTTGCTTTAGGTATTTAAAGACCTATACTCAGGTTTGGTTTTGTTTTGTTTTCTGCAAAAGACCACTTCAAAGTACTAAAGAGCAAAGATGTCTCTTTGAAGATGAAGGTGTGCCTAACTCAAGCCATGGTATTTTCAGTTACCTCATATGCATGTGAAAGCTGGACAATGAATAAGGGAAACCAAAGAACTGATGCTTTTGAGTTGTGGTGCTGGAGAAGGATTCTGAAAGTACCATGGACTGCCAGAAGAATGAACAAATCTGTCCTGAAAGAAGTGCAGCCAGAATGCTCCTTAGAAGCGAGTGTGGCCAGACTTCGTCTCACCTACTTTGGTCATGTTGTCAGAAGGGACCATTCCCTGGAGAATGATATTATGCTTGGTAAAGTGCAGTGTCAGTGAAAAAGGGGAAGGCCCTCAAGGAGATGGATTGACACAGTGGCTGCAACAATGGGCTCAGGTATAGCAAGGATTCGGAGGCTGGCACAGG